GCAAGGGATAGAGTAGGGGGCAGGAGCAGTCAAGAATGAGAGAGGGGGAGAAGGGGGCACGCCAGAGGGGAAGGGCGGGAGGGAGGGACGGGAAGGGCGAGAAAAGGGTGGGGGCATCCATTCATGCTTTACTTCTGGCTTTTAAGAGTCCAGTCGAGCGGACGGCATACCTTCGCATAGGCCGATCTCATCGAGACGTTCTGTTTCTTCTCGACCTCTCGCGGCGATCGCTCCTCCGCTTCTCTCGAGAGAGGAAGACCTCGGCAAGGAACCGCAAAAAGGAGTATCGCACGGACGATCGATCAAATAAACGGACGAACGAGACAGACAGCGATTTCGAGCGACGATCGGCAATAACTGGGTGAGAGTGCGCAAGTGCGATACGCTCTATCGAACTCCGGAGAGACTACCTCCCCTCCCCCTAACCCTCCCCTCCTCCCAAAATCAGCCGATCAGGATCGGAGTTCGCTCTTTCGCGCGTCTCTGGAATCGCAAAGCGCGAAAAGAGGGAGGTAAGAGGAGATCAGAGTCGCGCGGTAAACAGAGACACGTGTCGTTCTTGCTTTCGTAGTCGAAAGAAGAAAGATCGTAAAAACTAAAGTCGGGAACGAGGTTTCCGTAACGATTCGAATCGCGTGAGATACCACTTGAAGCCTGCTCGAAGTAGAATTCACGAATTTCCGAGGAGAAGTACGTGCCGATCGATCTCCCGATTTCGAGACGAGCGATCCGGAAGACTCCGCTTCTCTGCTTTCCCGATGACCGATTTATCGGAGAATTCATGCTTGTGACATTCGCGAAGATGGACTTCAAGTAGTAAACGACCAGCGAGCTTTTCGATCCGTCTTGTGTATTCCTGCTATGAATATTCCCCCCCAAGTATTTCTCTTCCCGCTCGTTCTGAACGCCTTGTCGCGCAAATAAGAAGGTGAACGTATCGAAACTCCCCTACCATTCTTTTTATCGCATTCCCCCCCACGTTGGAGTAAAACACCTAACGCAGCAAACGTTCCCTCCGGAGAGAGAAAGAAATAGACGGAGAAAGGAGGAGAGAAAAAAGAAAAAGAAGGAAAGAGAGAGAGAGAGAGAGAGAGAGAGAGAGAGAGAAGAACAA